TTTATCACGGAGCTATTTCGGGTCATACCAAGTGCCAACACAGCGGGAAGTATATTTTGCCTCTTTTCTGTCGATTTCCGGAATAGTGCGAACTTAACGAATTTAAGGTATACCGGAACCGGGTAGTGTAAACTCCCCAAATTAGCTATTAAGCGAAACTAGAACAACTACAGTATTACCATTTATTGCAAAAATGATAACCTGTGTCTTCTTATTTTGCATTTTTTATAAACTCCATTAAATAGAGTGTGTGCAGTTGAGGCACAAAGAGTCGTACTGCGTTATGTACAGTTCATTTACATTCGAGAAACGGGACTGATCAATGATGTTAATTAATTAATTAGTTAGTTAGTTAGTTAGTTAGTTAGTTAGTTAGTTAGTTAGTTAGTTAGTTAGTTAGTTAGTTAGTTAGTTAGTTAGTTAGTTAGTTAGTTATGTAGTTAGTAAGTAATTTAGTTAGTTAGTTGGTTAGTTGAAGCCAAATTAACGGTCACGACCTTGCCGAGGTCCCAAAATTGTGTCATTACGACAACTAGATAATGTGGTATCTTTTGGTCATTGCCTGCCTTCTTCAGATACTTTATATAGAGGTGCAAGTGAGAGAATGACAGCGTTTGCTCAGTTACCCTGAGGACAGGGTTCACTACCGTCCTATAGACCGTTCTACATTGGAGTCCTGTCCTGTTAGATATTATCCTGTTAAATTTCCCTCGACTTAACTCTGATGCATCGTGGACATGGTTAGCGAGGATTTGTTACGAAAACCTCTTTTTTTTATCGAAATCCAGACTGAGCATCAGCTTTTTCAAAGCAATGAAAGCTCACCGGTGTGGTGAATATTACCGTAATCGCAACACAAGGAAAAATTTCTTAGATTTATGGATACAGAGCGAGCCGCAGCATGAGTGCATCGTCTGTTTGCCAACAAACAAAAACAACACCAGCAAACAAACAAAAAACATTTGCGCCTTAGTAACGGTTGTGTCCTCTCAGCTCTCGTCCTTCAAATATTGTGAAAACCTCAAAAGTTGCATTACTAAGAACCCTTGTTTCATTAACAAAGCATTTTTCAGCAAAAATGCCGTTCAAAAAGAAAGTACTTTAAAAAAACTGAAATGCATGAAAACAATGCTAATGCATCCTCCTGAAATATACACTCTAAAAGAGGACCTCCAACCTCTGCGAGACGGATGTCACCAAATGGGCTCACTTACATACCTAAATGAGTTTTTGTAATTGACTTAACTTTACCAAAATTCACTGTCGCCCTGGCAGCAATTTTTTTTTTACACAAACTTTACCAAAATTCACTGTCGCCCTGGCAGCAATTTTTTTTTTTACAGTATACCAGATCCAATATAAGTCACATCGGTACCAGTCACATTGGTACCATCCAACTATGGTTACTCTTATTCATGTAGTCAGATGGCTCGTGACCTCGGTCTCCGGGGACTCAGTGAACAGTGACGAGCGGTATATAAAGACCAGTGACGGTGTGCATCACGTTGTGGTATGAATGGTGTACGATCTCATGGCTGTTGACATCGAAGCCATCCACCTTTGAAGTCACGATGTGTTGCAAGGTGCTGCTGTCGGCACCGCTATATTAAAATTAGAATAAAATGCAACCTCTTGCTAGGGCAATCCGCCGTCAATGGCGACACGACCAATCGAGAAATGCAGTACAAGAGTAGCTAACTGGCAAGTCAGGTCAGAATTTTAATAAGGCTACAGCTTAAGCCAACGTTTAGCTAATTGGTATGTGAACGGCCAGATTTATGGATGGGTGATACGGTGAGCTTGGAATCATGCATTACGACCGAATGGTTGTTCAATGTGGTGCCAAGTTGCCGATCTCCACGCGTTTCGGCGCAGAAATAGTGATACTCAACTGTATTCTGGAGGAAGTAATCTAAGCTGTGGCGGCTATGTCACCGCTGGTCAAAGGTGACGTGGAAATCGTCTCCCCTGCGCGATCTTCTGAACCAGATGGTCAACTGCTAGATGGGTATTGATGAAGATACTTGCATGCCCATCCAAACCTGGCTGAAGAAACGAAGCCGCAATTGGAAGAATGTAGAGAACCAACATAATAACCGAATTCTTTCGGCTATTGGAAGATTACGAAATAGCTCTCCACCACGAATCTCGATTTTTCCTTCTATATCTTCTATCAGCGGAGGTCGCATTCTCTGTTCATGTCGCTAATTAAGATTTTTCTCTCTGGTAGCCTAACACCCACCATCGATCCCAGTGGTAATCGCAGTTACATGCTTGCGAACCCGCCGACGTTGAAGGAAGCTATAGATCTCGCTGCCAAGTACGATATAACCCACTTCGTGGAAGATGCCAATGATCGCCAAGTCCACATCGAAATAAAGCGGCACTCAAGCGGACAAAGTCATGAAATAAGAAGCCTTTCCAGGGAAAACGTTACCCTGACAACGGTGGGCTCAATCCAAAACTTGACACTTAGCGCATCGAAGATCGTACCGCAAGAAACCAGGTCTATCCAGACTGACTCCTACGCTTGGAAGGGAGAAGAAGCGACGCAGAAAAACAAGAGCCCCCGTCATTGAAAAAGAACTCTACTGCGGAGGAGAACGTAACCAGAACAATAAATTGAACAATTTCAGTCTTACCGTTCTGTGTGAAAACCTCTCGTTTGCAAGTCA